GCGCGCCCACTCCGCGGTCACGAAGCGCGAAGACATCGCGACGGACGTTGAAGTTAGTGGAGCGTACAGCCGTGTGCTCCGTATCCGGCGAAACATCATGAAACACGGAGAGCCACGAAGAGCTCAACAATGAAACGCTGAGGGGGGGAAACAGGTGGTCACGCTCCGCTAACCCGCCATCCGTACTTGAGACCGATGGTTTTTTTTTCTCAGAGACGCTCGGTCAAGCACTCCTCCTCCCCCCCTCCCCCTAGCGCGGGAATGTAAATTTACCGGGGAGACACGAACATCCAATACCTCTCTCGCGGTTTCTTCATCGTGAGAGAGACGATTGAAAGCAGAACAAATCGGCTTTGTTGTTTTTATTTAAAATTAAAGAGGAGGAGAATTATTGTAGCACACAATTGTGCGCTACTTAATTGCAGTTGAATTGAATAATAAATAGAATATACAAATGTTGTAAATTAAGAGAGTTTTACAGCATCTATACGAAATTGTAATTTAATTACAATTTCAACTATTGTATTTTAATGATATATTTTTAGAATTAATATATTTTTTAACAGTTTCTCTTGCACGTGGTAAATTTATCGCGAGTTTGAAATTTTCTATAAAAGCTACAGCCTTTGTTCAGAGTCGCAAAGTGCAGCATTGTCGCGCGTGGAGATGAATTAAATTTAATGCTTCCTGAAGCTGTATTAAATATCATTAAAAGTGAGACTTTTCATTGTCGAAATGACTTCTTCTGTGACTTCTTTTTCAAGTTTCCGTGCTTTTCAAGTTTTCCGCACTTTTACTTTTGTAATTCTCGAAATTTTACTCTCCGCACAACGTTTATATGAGTTTTATCGCAGTTCTGTCGTGCAGAAAGAATATTCATAAGTGTACCGCGGCGAGATAGCGAAAGCACGTACGCTCAAGGCGCGATTATTGCACCGCAGAATTTTCTTTATTAAAAAATGCAAAACGCAAAGTGCTCGCGGACAGAAGAAGCCGGAGAGAAATCCACCCGTCAAACTTGGCGTTAACTGATTTTCGCGTTTAAGCTTCGCGAAATTATAACGCAACCCACTTCAGGCGCGGATCGCGCGTTATATTTCACGATGCGGCGTTATACCACGATCTTTGAAAAAAAACACGCGAGAAAGTATGTGTACGCTGCAAAAAAAAAATGTAGGAAAATTTACACGCTCGAATTACACGAACTCCCTCTCGTGCAACAATGCGTCCTCGACTATTCGCGAGTCGCGGCGGTTCTTGTGTTTAGCATGTAAATGAAAGAAGTTGAGTAACGCGCGAATCCACAGACGGCCTATATATGTACGGCAGGCACTTGGGACGCGTTGCGTATGCAGGATGAACAAGGTAGACACGGTGCGGGGAATTCATGCGCTAGAAATGTGTTTCACTTTTCCGTCAGCTATGACGATGGATCAACTCGGCGCGGCGCGGCGCTTCGCGTTCTCGCTTTAGTAAACTGCTTTTCGTACCGCATCGCTCGCCGCAGCCGGGGAGAAAGTGCAGCGTTTTCCTTCGCCGCGCTTCTCGCCGCTGCAAAATTTCTAAGCCGTCTAGAGCCGAAGGGCAATCTTCGCGTCGTAATTGATCGCTCTCGGCGATCCCGTCGGCACGCGTCACGATTTTTTTTTCAAACCCGCCCTATTTTTTTCACCCACATTTTCTATCGTTAGAATTAATTATAAGTATTACAATTATAAAAGTTCGTCGATTGCGGAAGAGAGCGTTAAAAATCGTAAGTACCCGTTTCGGTTTCTTTTATCATGTCGACAGGTTGTACGGAGAATATATAATCGGAATGGAAATCTGAAAACGAGTTTGCGATTATCTCTAATAGACTTGTTCGCTTAACAGAAAGGGAATGTCGCAATAATACACGGATACGTTTGTCTTTGATACATGCGATTTCTTCGACACGGAGGATATCCGTTGCCGTGACTCAGAGCTCGGCACACATATACACGCGCGCGCGCGCGCACACACACACACGTGTTTAAAAAATTATACTAAACTTTCTACTATCTCTCGATACGTTTCACGTCCCGGAGAGATGGACGGGGCGCAGTGGCCCAATTCGCGGCGGAAAAAGGCTTTTCGCGACGGAGTGCGGAAAAGCGATCCAATCAATGGAAACAAAGGGAGCAAGATTGGTGGAAAATGCATCCTTTATGTATCCCGCTTTCGTGCAATGACTGCCGTTGAATTGTCACCAAATGGACGCGGTACTATTGCTTCACGTATAGCTGCGACAGGTTAATCCAACACAATAACGGCGTTCGCCGTAACGCAAGGGATAGAGAAGAGCAAGCGTTTCCGGCATAACGTATAAAGTTAAAAAAGTTTTTTTTTTTAATTTAAGTGATCTACGTATTGAAAAGAGATTAATCAATGTTACGTCATCAGTTGTCATAATCGTTACTTTTTCATCTTTTCGAAAAAAAAAAATCTATGTATACGTCGTGCTTTTTATCGCGTACGTGAACCGAGCACCCCAACAATTCCATAATTCTGATTAGAATTACCGATTCATTTTCAACAGACGAAGAGTTCCCTACAATTTATGACAAGAGTTCTACTTAATAACAATTTTTAATTTAAATTTTAAATTTAGCACCCCATTTTTAATTTAAAAAATGGGGTGCTAACTTCAAAATTCATAATGGAACAGTTTCTGAGCGGCTTGTTATTAACTATAGAAAACTCTTCGTCTCTCCAAAATGAAGCGGGAAACTCTAATCAGAGCTATGGAATTTTAATGTTGGGATGCTAACTTCACACACGCTATATTATCTGCAGCAAAATATCTCACATGGCACTCTCGTTTACTATGCGCAGCATACAAATGTAATGACAGCTATAACGCATCTAATACATCTTTCTAGCGATGTTATATTAATATACATTTTGCAATAATGCAAATGATTTGCCTGGAAACACGCGAGTGTATTCGCGTAAATTTTGGAAAAATCGTAGCATTTTGGTTCCGTTAATCTCCCTCATGCAAAATGTAAATAAGGGAGCATTTACCGATATATATGTATATACATATATATATATGCATATGTATGCAACGCGGACCGTGAAGCATTGGGTTACAATAACCGGACAGCGCTCGATGTTCGATATTTGGTCTATTTGGGTCACGGTAAACAGCGAGAATACGAAATCCTTGTAGACAAACGGACATACCCAGAGTCGGTATTCAAAAGCCGCTGGCTCCTGTTTGCCGCGCACAAAGAGATCGCGAACGATAACGTGTGTGGAACTGTTGCGCGACGAGACTAGATTCCGTCCCCGGGGCAAGCTAATTTGTGCTAATCTAATTGACAAGCCTTGAGGTCGACCTCCTTTGGTACCACTGACTGGCTGAATGATTCCCGGCGAGCTGCATCGCAGCAGACGTTGTAACGTACGAATCTTGTGCGCGCACACACACATACACGCACACACGTGCACGCACGTTCCGTTCACACGACTGAGAATGCACTTTGATGTCTCTCGCAACTGATGACTTAATCCTCTCCACGTGCTAATTAATTGGATAGCTACGTTCGCGAATTCCCTATTCATCTCTTTCCTTTATCGCGGCTTAAATTTATTCCTCGCAAATTTAATTTTCCGCGCGAAATATATACCGTGTGTTATCTCGGTTGTTTAAAAAGAGAAAGAAGAATGGAATATTTTTCCGTGTATCTCGACTTACAAATAAAAAGATGACATATTTTTCCTACATTTTTCTACCAAAGAACATATTTGCCTTTGCGAGCGGAATACGACAGTCTCCTTGCTAATTCTCCTTTTGCAATGTCTATTGCGTTCTTTCACAGAACATTTCATATACCTCAAGGCAATACGCTGATACATGATTTAACTTCATTCCGGGGATAATCACCAGAAGAATATATAAACACAATCTTACCTTTTTATATTTCTTTCAGATTATCTCAATTTTATCAAATATTTTATTGCAACTAGATTTATCTTGGCTTTAAACTGGACTTCAAATTTTTCTAGTTAAATTAGCTTATATTCTCAATTCTAGATTTAAGTTAATTTTATCTGGTATAAACGGTTCAAGTAGAAACTCTCCACCACTTCCGCCGCGGTATAACCGACAGTTCTCTTTTCTTTTTACAAACTTTCTTTAATTTTTTTTATTTATTACTTTTTACTTTATTTATTTTACAAAATTTTTCTACGACGAAACGCTCAGAAACACGTGGATCTCCCGTCATCTTAAGTTACGTTAACTGGATAAAATATATTGTTAAAGTTATCAATCAATATAAATGGAGAGGATATAAAAGTTTAGGATAAAATTGGAGTATTATATATAAATAAATAATAATAATAAATAACTGCTAAATAATTCTTAAATCTTACTAAATAAAATATCTGTAAAAATGTCTAAAAAATACTTTTCATTACTTTTTTAGTTTTAGGATAGGTACGTTGAAAGAATATCCGAGTACATTGCTTTCTCGCACCAATAATATAATACTTTTTCAGTTATCTTTATTAATAATATATAATTTATATTTATGCCTGAATAATATTATTATTCCTTCAGTTTCTTATTATTATTTGTATTGTGTATAATTTATTCTTGCAATATATTCATTTGTATTTAGGAGGCAGCTTTATAAATTTCAAATAACTGATGTATCTTGTAATTAGCGTTTTGTTTTGCATAGTTATAGGACAACAGAATACGCTAATAAAATGACATGCGCCGATAAAATAAGCTATTTTGTAAGCATGCGATTATACGCGCACAACAAATCGACAAGTAATTGCAAATTCAGGATTAAATACCTATTCTAGTTCGTTTCAGCCTATCCATTTTGAGGCAATGAATCCGTGAGATATTATATTTGTTTGTAATATTCACACGCTACACATACATTTTGCGTATATCTGGCGCAATGTGTGTTCACTGATCCATTACCTCAATTCAAAATAAAATTTAATTCATCACTCACCGATATGTGCATGCAGCGGAGTAATCTGTGCTGCAAACTACGATAAAACTGTAACATACAAACACAACAGGCAAATTACGGCAATGATCAAAACAACTAACATTTAATAAATATAATAATTATCGTGGAAAAAAAATCGTATTGAATTTTGTATTTTTTGTCTTTCAAGTGGATGGTATTTTGGTTGCGTTCCACAATGGCGCTTTTGGCGCTTCCAGTGTTTACGGAACCATTTTATCCTTGTTGTTTATCAAATGTTAACGATAAATCATACTCACAGCGTATAAGTGTTAAAACGGAACGCAGACTTAATAAAGTGATTATATGTGATTATATTTTCCAAATGAGTCTTCTTTTTTCTCTCTCACTTTTGTAACATTTATAAACTTTAAAAGCCTTTCTCTCGAATTTTTATATTTCGAATTCATTTATCATCGAAATAAACAATCCAATTGAAAGGAAACGGATTAAGATTCTACGTAAGGAATAATATAATTAATTACCCCAAGGTTGCTCCGCTGTCGCGCCCGATGCCTCTCCTAACCTCCTCCTTCTCCTCTTAGATCGGCGGGATTGACGGGAATCGTTGCGTCCACACAACACTCGCGACGCGAGTAATTATGATCGCGCACGAAATTATTGTACAAAATACGATCGCACGACACTCCCGGAGTTAAAACTTACGATAAACTATCCCTTTGCCATTACCTGCCCGTTCGGACGTTGGCGAAGGGGGCCCGGGGGCGTATGATAGCGCACGGTGCGAGGCGCGACCTTGCGTATGCGAGGCTATGGCGCGGCGCGTTGGTAGTAGTGTGTGTGTGTGTTGTGTACGGCGGAAAAACAAAACACCGAACCGCGCGCCGCCCGCCGCCGGCCGAATTGTTGCGCCGCGCCGCGCCCGTCCTAAAATATTTAAAAGTGTTTCTTATGAAATAAATGTATTTCACGTATTCTATCCCGTATATATTAAATTGATGAATTTGATTAATGGGATGTCGTCGTATATTAATTATGTAACGAGAGCCGAAAATACTATGTATATTTAAATCCGATTTATATAGCTATTGTTTTTTGTCAGATATTTACGTGCCCGCGAATAGTGAGATCGTAAGACTTTAATAAATCGAAAATGTACGTACGTGTCTGCGCAATGACCTTTCCGTGTTGTAACTGTGCAATCAGTTTAATCAATTAAAATGTTTGCTCGAAATAAATGTTAAAACGCGTTCATTCGCGTTCGCACGAAGTACATAAGGACGTGATTCGTTAATCATACACGCTGTTAATTCCGTGAGCACCACGGTAAATAGACCTCATTACGACACCGGGTTGGGACTGCACGTTACATCTTCCACTCGTGCGACGAAATTACAACTTCCGATTGTCAGCGCTGCTTTATGAAGCGTCACTTATGCGACTATTTGACACAGTGCCACGAGCTACCTACCGGGATTTAATGGATACCTTAGACACGCTCTCTCCCAGGAGTCAAACTAATAAGAAATATGAGCGAGCTATGGCACGACGAGAGCCCTGAAATAAGGGCGTTAAAGCAGAACACGAGAACACATTTATTCGAGCAATTTTGGCAGTTGGTCAAAAAAAGAGGATGATTAAAAGAATTTTTTCGTATCATCAATTCTTCTGTAATTTTAAATTGACATGAAATGAAATTTTAGATTTTGTTATTGCTGTAAGATGAAGAAAACAAGATTGGTATGATATTTTCAAAATCTCTTTAATAATTAAATTATAAATTTGATAAATATCTAAAAGGATATTTTAAGTTTTTATTTGACTTGTTAATATTATGAGTTGTTACACGGAAATTGCTGATCGACTTCTCTATACTTTAATATATAAAACAAACTTCTATAGGTACATAAAACGAACTCCAATATGACATAATCGATACGTCACAAACGATCAAAAAATTGATCTTTTGCTAGTTAAATTAATATGCGCGCTCTCTGTACACAGCTCCGACGAATTGATAATTATACTTTCTACGATTACTTTCTATAATTAAAGTCACTGGTATGTGCGTTCAGTGAACGATACGATATCACCTGCACGCCACCAGCAAACGCGTTCGTGCAGCAAACGAGACATTGAATAGTGGAATGTACTAGCCTACATATTATGGAAATTGAGTAATTGCGATCGCGGAGTTCAGCGCGATTTCGTTTCATTTACACCATCGAAAACGCTTTCGTAAAATCTGAAAATATATCTCGCGACGTGCGTCACATATATAAATTTCTCACAACTTAAATACGCTAAGCGCATCTCTAAGTACGTAAAAAATAATCAATTTTGAATTGAGAATTAAGTTTCTATTATTTATTTTTTTTTCTTTACAAAATTGAATTCGGTTGGTATTTTTAACTATTTTAGCGTACACTCGCGTAAATAAGAAGAGAAAAGATTGCCCAAAGATTTGCACGTCCGATCATCCTTGACCGACTATACCGTATCTTCGCACAACGTTGCTAACGCAGGATGAAAACTTTTAATAAAGCTCTCGCGCTGCATTGCGGACTGAAGTTTTATTTTATACTCCCTAAGGTGAGCAGGCTCGTAAACGAGGTCATCCTCACAATGTTGAAAATTGTGTCTGAGCGTATACCAGCGAACCGTATCCGTTCCCAAGCTCTCGATCGATACTTTTTCTTGAATATCAATCGACAGCGTATACTGCTGACATGAAATATTTATATATATAGTCACCTCTCTTTCGTAACTTTTGTTTGCATCATTATTAAACATTGTCACAAATATTCTATACTTTAATGAAACAAATTTTATTTCTAAATGCAAAACAGATATATGCCACGGCTATTTTCTATTTATCTATAAGCTTTATACCCACCATTGCAATATGCGATTTTAAAAGGATATTTTTACTTTTTGTTGCAGATCGAGCGAGAAGATCTAACAGTCAGAAATGACGCGAAGAAGAACGTTTATCTTCGTATTGGGAGTATGCATAGGTGAGTTGCAGAAAAGATTTGAATTCTCTCCTTAATTTTTTTACAGGTATTTTTTTGTAATTTACAAAAATGTAAAATAAACGTTAACGCTTTGCTCTGAATTATCCCAAGAAGAAAGGGAGAACGAATTTCTAAGCGGATTATGCATGCAATTTTTGTCTCGAGTCTCGGTACCGCGCGCGCAGAGCGGCAATCGCCGTCGAAGAGAATGGCTAGCATCTCTCGGCTGCATCCTGTTGCATTGTGAACTCGTGATGTAAAGCTTGCCAATCGAGGTGACTGCACCAAGTACTGTTAGGTCTGTTGCAACGAGCCCGCGAGTTAACTGTAACTTGTAGCTTATCAACAAAATTTTCCATTCCACCTCATGACGTCTGCACCCTTCGGTTTACGGTGAACGACTGCGTTTTCTGATCTAAATTCGACCTTTCAAATACGATCGAACTGTAATATTTAGCTAATTGTAAGTTATTCGAGGTAAATTATTAAATATCGTGAATATACGTATCCGGATATCGGATATGCGTATGTTAGATATCTTGTATTATACACACGTAACTATTTGCATACAAAGCGTATTTGCACTTCTTCAGAAGAATCCCGAGTTAAAACCTGACAACGATAGAATTCTCGTGAATTTAATTAATTAGCTGGAATTAACGTCTGTAAGATAAGTGGCGTCTGAGCCGGTGATGCAATGAGTAGCAATAAAGTTGGTAATTATTTTAACGATGTTTCCAACGTGGTTAAGGCTATGTATTTCCCAACTGGAAAGGAAGAAACTTAAACAATATAGCCCATCTTTTTTATTATCATTGTAATAAGAAAAAAGTCGCACACGCGCGCATGTCACTTTATGTGCATTATAGAATTAACTTTCTTTAGATATACCCATGTTGTTGAGTAAAACGCTATGTGATCAGAGAAAACAATGTGCAAATTCCCAGTAATTATGTTAAAAAAGTTGCGTGTAAACTAACGAGTTAAGAGACATATACATATATTATTAAAAGACCTCGTGCGTTGCATAAATAAATACTTCGCTTACTCGAATCATCTTGCTGCGAGAAAAGAAAAGTGTAATAAATAATTATGTAATTTTAACCTGCATCAAGGTTAAATTAATTTGAAACAATAATATTACGTAAATAAATACGCTTAATACTATCGTTTAGTTTGAATGAATTGTTTTTCTTTCATCAATACGGATATGTTTTTCTTATATGCTTGTCTTATTATATAAATATTTCGCGTTATACGATAGCTATTTCCAGAGATATTTCTCAATACGGGATTTCCACGTGAAGAAACATTATTGACAATCTATTGACAAGATAATAATATTTAAATGTGTACACGAACGGCAGACTTTATATTGCATTTTATGCAGAATCTTTATTCAAATTATAGACTGAATTGACTTCAAGTTTAAATTGCTTTGAAATATTGAATTTTTAAATTTTGCTTTAAACTTTATTAAATTATTTAATTTTACCTTAAACTTTATTAAATTTCCCCCTGATATAGAATTCACAAATATAACGAAATACTTGTCCTTATTTTTTGTAACGTAACTGTTTCGGAATAAAACTTATTGTTAGAGAATTATAAACACGTCTTAAATGTCACGGAATCTGGGTAGCGGATAAATGGCAATAAGAAAAGAAACTGATTTTTTTTATCTTTTCCTTTAAATAATCAAGTTCGCGAAATCGATTCTCTACCATAAAATCTTCAGCATTCGTCGGAAATGCATCGAAGGCATAGGAGGTAGAAATCAGATGGAAAATTCTCGCTGCGAATCTGCGCGTCAATGAAATAAACATTATCTCGGCTTCGACGTTCACAGAGAGGAATTTAGTAGTCGTCTCCGTATCGACGTAAATCAGCGAAACACGAGGACACACTCGAAGCCCCTACATAATTCCGAGGTCTGTTTAATATTCAAACGCACGCTCCTCGCTACGCCGCGGTCGCGCGAGCTCTTTCAATTTGCAGAACGCGAACTGTATCGTAGAGCGTCGTGAATAGTTCCGAAGGAACCCGCCGCGGTAATTCCACGGACAACCGGTTTTTCGATCCATTAAACGCCTCGTCTACGCACGCCACATTTTTATTTTACATCGCACTTCAGTGGAAACCAGTTGTCGTTGTTGTCGATGAGCGGAACTTCTGTTTTCGTGCGTTAAGCGAACGCGCTTATTGCAGATTATTACCATAATTCACCGTTTTATTGTCAAACGTGCGACTAAGATTACGTGAAGTAAGAATAATTATCGCGTGATATGTGAGAGCCAATTACCTGCTAAAAGTTTCTTCCTACACAATTTTCCAGCGCTTTAAAAGTGAAAATCTTTTATGAATACAAATATGTTTCTATTCTTTTTTTCTCTTTTAAAATAAACATAAGTATGTTATATCATTTTTTCTCTCTAATTATCAATTTTTGATTAAAGTGAATTTCTAATAGATAATGATAGAGAAAGGCTGTTTATTTTCTTAGAGATTTTTTTCTCTGAAGTGTTCTCATTTTAATTTATAGTGATTAATTCCATAAACATAACCATTCGATTACAATCATAATTAAATGCATTAAATAAAATCTGTTAAGCCATTTTTAATCAAAGCACTGAACATGTTTAGTTATAAGTATAGATATAGTATTTATATAAATTTTTTATCAAAATTAATTATTTTTATAATGTCTTTATTTTATATTAAATGTTCAATGTTGGAATTGGATTTAAAATTTATATTTTTGTGCTATAGCTTTATTTTGTTTAATGATTTTGAATAAAATTAATTTATACATAAATATTAGTAAAGACATATAAAACAGAAAAGATTAGGATAAAATATTACTAATAATAAATATAATTATTAATGTGTTTTTTAATTAAATTGGAATATATTATATAATTTTTGATTATTATCTTATAATTTTATATATAATATTCATATATACGTACCTCATAGCTGTTCCGTTGTTTCCAAATCTTCTTTTTCTTCTCTTAGATGCTTTGCATATACACAATACAATACAACGAAACACGATTAATTATACGCACTCGTAATAATTATCACATTCGTAAGTCATTAATACAGTATTTTGTTTCATATTTCCGACGTTAATTATACGTGAAGCACAATATTCTGCGAAATAAACAAAATATTATTGATAAACGGATATATAACAGATTATGTATCATAATGTATACCTAATAATTTTATATAATAATTATGATATAATAATTTTTTGTTATTCGATCCAATTCATATGTTTTATTATGCGATTTTCATCCGGCAACAATTAAAGGACAAATCGCATTTGAATCGACAAAACGTTTAATATGTGATACGAGATACATTCAAACCTATAATGTACGTATTTTCAAAAAAAAAATCATCGTCCGTAAACATCGTGAAATAGCAATCTGTAATTAATTCCATGTCGTATCGTTTCAATTTTTGTTTCATAATAAACGACACGAAGAGTATCTTCGACATACACTCTTCAAAACGTCTACGAATCGTTAGGCGTAAAAAAAGACAGTTACACGCACGATCTGCAATAATAATTGGTAAATGTTCACAAGGAATCATTGTGTCTTGAAGAATAATAACACGACACACGGAGCTGTCACATCGCTAACTGTCGGCTCGAGTTGTACGCAAATGATAAGAAGACTATCGCAAGTGTAAACAATCAGTCCGTCGTACATACGTCACATAAAACGTCACGGATGCCAAGTTTCGTGTTACGAAAAATATTTCGCTTACGAAATATTTTAACACGTTGATTGCCTTACCGGCTATCAATGACCGGCACTTGAATTTTTAGTGGCGCCGCGCCAGTAATCAGCGCTATCAAACTCAAGAAATACATCAAATTCGTAAAAAATAATATTTCTAATACTGTAACATAATAAATATTGAAGTAATAAATGTAATCTACAGTAGTAATTGTATGATAATTTAATTACATTAACATTTATATTTTGTCAAAGGTATGAACTAATAGTGAAAATTTTATTCCGGCGTCGTTGGAGAGACAAGCGAATTAGATTCGGCAATCAACGTAGTAATCTATTAAAACATATTCAGAGCAAAGACAAGCGATTGTAAATAATTATTTACAACAAATGCGAACTTCTTTTATCGACAAGAGAAACGTCTTCGTCAATTTTTTGTATTTTGGATTTGTTTGTACTCGGCGTCACTTTGATTGAAGCGCGTTTATCTTCGTTCGAAATCTTTGTTTAATTTAAATCTTTAGAAAATAAATTAATTGTTCTTCTGAACATTTTATTCATTGCGATAACTTAACTTTCCAAAAAACTATAAAAATCAATATTATGAAAATCAATTTAAATTATGAAAATCAATAACAAATGATAAATCGATAATTGCGTGTATATAAAGTAATAAATACAAGGAAGTAAAAATAGAATTGTAAGCTAATTGACGTGCGATGCTATTAGTCCAACCTCGAAAATTTTAAAATATTGTGATTTTTCTCGAGTAGTTTCACATTAAATTTGTCGATTTAAATTAATTTGTTAATTAATTAGTTATGAATATGAAAAGCATGATAGAGTAGTTAATTCTATTAAAGAAAATGATATACTGTAGATAATGATCGTTGAACTTTCAAAAGAGAAGACAAGCATTGATACAAAGTTGTAAGATTAAACTTTGCTATTTCAGGCACCTTGCTGCTACTCTTCGACAATGCGGTGGCGGAAGTTACGGAAGCGTCGGTTGCTTCCGAGAAATCTGAGTCCCAAAAAGCATCGACTTTTCAAGGATCTACGACGATATTAGCAAAAGTTTCTTCGATCCAGCAAAATCAATCATCTGTAGAAAACGACGAAAAAAATATCAAGAATCGAAAAACTAATGACGCGGAAAATAGATCACACGACAGTGTCATCGACGACGCAAATCAGGATGGAAAAACAAGCGATGAATCCGAAAATTCATCGTCCGATGGAAACAGGAAGCCGAGGTACGGCGAAATTGCTGTTGAGAGCTCCGGGAAAAGCACCAGCACGAAAGTCGTCTCCGAGGATCTTCTCAGACTCTCCAGGAAGAACGAACTGACTGCGGCGACTGCAAAGCCAGCTTTCAATGATTCGAAGCAGGACAGTAAGAACCTAGAGAATGTCTCCCTTCAAGAATCTTTCGACCATGAAAAAATATCCGATACGACCAAGACTACGTCTTCAAATACTAAGGAAAAAATTCCCGATGAGAAATTAATCGCGAATGTAATGGAAACATTGGAATCTAAAGTAGAGAAGGAGTCCTCCTTCGAGCATAAAGCGAAGAATAATGTAACTGCGGACAAACAAGAGATACCGACCGTCAAGTCTATCGGAGATTTCTTCTCGACAACCCCGAAATCGACTGCTGAGGACGTCGTCAGGTCCGACGAAAAGAAGGACAAAATTATAAAGCTTGAGCACAAGGAAGTTGTTTCGAAAAACGACAAAAATGTAATCTTGACTGACTTGAAGGAAGAAGTAGAGGATCATACAGTGGAGGTTCGCAATCAGGAATCAACCACAGTGCATGGTGAAAATTCCCCAGGATTTAAGAAGAGCGCGAACGATCTAGGAACGACGGCATCCGAGGCGCTCGATCTCGAGAAGGTCGATGAGCAGGTGCACGAGGGAAGCGTTTCGTTAGTTAACGACACGTACGTGAATCACTTTTATAAGACTGTGACGGAGAAAGATCTCAAAGCTGTCCCCGGAAACCATTCGATTGACGTGAATGACTCGCGCGAGAAAGCCGATCCGAAAGAAGAAGTGGAGATCGTTAAGAACGTGACTCACCTGCCAGTATTGAAGATTGTGACAACCGCGAACGATACTGCGAAGAATGACTCTCACGTCAATGAACGGAATAATCAGGAAGCAGCCGCTTACGTCGAGAGGAAAGGGGAGACCGGGGCGAAAGGTGAAAATCATCCTGAACAAAGCGCAGACTTCTCCATTTCGAATGTGACTACTAAGAGTATAGATGGTATAGAGGAATGGAGATCAATAGGGGAGCCTGAGAGCCAGGTCAAGTTGCCCGAAACAACGACTCAGAGCGTGCGACTTGAACGTACCTCGCCCGCCCCCGAAACCACTTCTAGTCTAGTCCCGCAAGGCAGAACTATCGGATTTTCCGGAATCAACGAGTTTCCGAAAATCGAGGTGAAAACTACGGCATCAATGAGGACCGACGGGGGATCGCCGGTCACTCAGAGCCTGCGAAACATCACCGAAAAAATAGATCAGAAGCCTTATCCGTATCTGAAATCTAGCAGAGAGTCGTTCCAGACGATAACAGAGGTCAATACGAAATTGAGAAAGGAAGGACGAAGTGACGTTACGGAGGAAACTTCCCCTTACGAGAACACGATCGGAAGAGGAGAATCCGAGAAGAAGCTCGTCGTCACCGAACCTTCGGTTGTGATCGAGAACAGCATTCAACAGCATAAACCGAACAAGAAGAATATAAACGAGTCCGCGAATTCGACGACAAAGAGCCTCTCCTCTTTGACGCCAGTGACGACGATTCCGATTGTTTCGGTCGTCGTTGGGCCAACGAATAAAACTTTTCCGGAAGGATTTAACGGCAGCGCGAAGACCGCGGAAATGAAACGCTCGAAGCCGAACGAGAATGACACGCCAGGTGCGAAAGAGGAGGAGAAAGTGATCGCGGGTAGAGACGAGGGTTACGACGTAACTGGAAATGGAATAACGGAAGTGAGCCTAACTCCGGATGGCAAGGACGTGAAATCACATTTCAACGAAGGAACGGAATCGTCAACGTTGCGTTCCGCGGAAAGGAATACATCTCGGACGACGTCTCTGAATACCGACGTGCAGATGGAACCGGAAGAAGCTATGATGATCCGCTCGACTTTCGTCGTTACCGAAACCACGAGCGTGGTGCCCTTGGACAAGGACGTGACGACGGAAGCGAACAAGTCCAAGACTTCGATGACACCGCGAGCGGAAGTCAATACGACCGCTACAACGGTCCTCGAGAATTCCACGGAATCGACACCGAAGACGAGCGTCATCACGCCGCGACCGTCCTCGAGCGCTAATCACACCACCGAATCACCCTCCGCCACTTTAAATCCCGACGAATCGTCAATCCCGTCGACCACGTCCGTCGAATTCGAATTCGTCAGTCTCACGGAGGCGATCTCTTCGGTAGGTAACGCGACTGAAGGGACCGTCGACGGACATACCTTCGAGGAACAAATGACGTCCTCGAGAACGACGACGGTTCAAAATTCGACGAGCAACTCGACGATGGTCACCGCGATGAAACCGGAGGAATTCACCGAACTTCCCGTGACGACCGAAGATGGAACTCCGACGACGGATCAAGTGTCGGATATGCGCCACGTGGACAACGAGACTACCGGAGGTCCTACGGTTGCCCAAACTACTTCTGAGAGTCAAAGTAATCATACGGAGTTGACGAGGAGCGAAGTTACCGTAAGCGTTATCGATTTCACCAGCGCCGCCACCGGTAATGTCACGGGAGCCTTCGGCGTAACCGAGGGTTCTTCAGAGTCTAAGGATTCAAGTTTCGATGCGAACATCACCGAGACGTCCGCCCCAGGCGTGACGGAACTACCGCCGAATACGAGTGTCAGGACAACAGCGAACGTTACAAAGAGCCCTTCGGCTACAAGTACTTTGGAGCCGATAGTACTATGGAGTACGGTGGGTTTCACGGAGTCGCCCGAGGAAGAGATAACTGAAAGTATTCAGAATCTGTCGCCGGACGAGGTCACGTTACTGGTTAAAATAATTGTCGAGGGCACCTTACAAGAGGTCTGTCCCCGATTGCAGGATCTAAGGAAGGCGCTCGCGGATTTTCTCAGGGAAGGACTGGAAAAGTGAGTGATTTATGATTTATAAAATTTCTCTTTATTTTAAGTAGATTTTTTTTAAATGGATTTGTAGACGATTTTATATTAATTATTACATATTTAACTATTACTACCTATAAATATATTATTTCGTTAAAAACTATAGTATATAAATATTTTTTACGTTTCATATTTAGATATTTAAATTTTTGCAATCGATAATTTATATATATTTTTGCTTAGAAATAAATCTTGAATAAATAATTTATGTGACAACCGTATAATAATAGTGATGAATAAAAATTAATAACAAATGTTTTAAAAATTGTTACAAGTTCATTGAAAATATAAAAGAGTAATTTAATATGAAATTTCATTTTTTTTCTCTTTGTGATAATGTGTTCTTCAAGTTTCGTTTATCTCAATACCAAGGCTTGAAAATTGAGTGAGAAATTTAGCTAAAAATGCATTTGTCATATATAATATAATGTGAAATACGTCGTTTTGCAGGCCTGTGCAACCGAAACAAATTGTTATCCATCAAAATCCTTGCCGCGAGCAGAACTTGTCGCCGACATCGACAGAGGTTTCCCTAATCCCGATCCTGGTTTACGTTATCGATGAGGACGGCAAGTTCGACCCCGCCATGACAAAGATTCTACCAAGTTTATACAAGGTGTCTCCCAACTTCCCAGTGAGAGTAAGTTGAAAACGGCGGAGAAGATCGGGCGCGGATTAGAACACTATGTGGCTGTCGAACGTCAGCAAAAGTCCATTATAACTCTTACTTCGGCACGTCTGTAAAAATGTAATCTCCCCCCAATTATAAACTTCAGATTCATTCTATCACCAACGAGCAATTTTCTGTTGTCGTTCAAGACGTTTCTACGAAGCGCTCCTTCTCCTGTCAGCTTTCTCTATTAATCAATCGAATGCCAAATCGTATCAAAGTACTTGATATAATATATTCAGTGATAGCGATCGAAAGAGTATCTCTATTAAATTTCCTTAGGTCATTCATTCTTTCCAGATACACAAGTTCCTTCTGGTACCGGAAGGGGATTCTGGAAACGCAATAGCGGTCGTCGTGGTCTCCTCCGTGGCCTTCATTTGCCTGGTTCTTTTAGCTGGTCTTCTGGTAAGCGTTTTTTTTTTGCAACTGCAAGTATTTAGCAACTCCAAAGATATCATATATTTAATTTATAACGGACATATTGACGTTTGACGTTCAAATTATCTTTTAGGTAAACGTACAAAGTATAGTACACGCAAAGTATAGAATGCGTAGAAGTTATTCGGCTTGTCATATACGATTGATTCAATTTTCTTCTAGACAGCGAAGCGACATAATTGCGAGAATTTTTAAGTTTGATTTTTTTTCCTCTTTTATCTCGTTTTTTTTAAGAGTTATGAATGTATGTCGCATGCGTTTTTTTGCCGTGCTCACGCGGCACGTTACTGAGGAGAATTAAAGCAAGAAATATTAATATTACAAGATTGCAGCTGCGCAGGTCCGCGAAAATCTATGCTCGCTGACGTAGCCTGCTGCTATAAGTCGCGCATGTACGCGGCGATAAACCTCTGTTCACGAGAGGTTTACGTTACGCGTGTCAGTTCCTCACCGTCCATTCGTCCGTTCCCCCCCGTCTGTCCACACTCATAATTCTCTTTCAGTGTACGTAATACGCTCGTGATAACATGTCTGTGTACATGTTTTTCACCTGGGAGGTGTAAAGAGACGTACGAGGTTTTCGTCTTTGTCGCGCGAAATGAAGATAATGCGCGACGCACGCGTAATATTTCGCGACACGATTTTTGTTTTTTTACTTTTGCGGTGGCAGCTTATTTTACGATTCTTTTTTCAGTCACGCTTTCGCCGATGTTTATTCGTATAATGTTATGGCACACATGTGCGGCTGCATGCCAAATGCAAGTTGCTCGTTTCACGAGAAATTAAGAGACCTGTGGATTATATTCGTGTAATCTAGGTATTTCATTTGTGTAAGCATCAATGAAGGGAAAAAAAACAGTCAAGTTCTTTAGATGTTGACAACATTGTTAATCGCGATAAAATAATGGTTACTTTAATATTGTTTGTATTATGTAATTTTAACGTTGGAATAACGTTGGAACACACATGTGTTCCGTTCTGTTATTTTGATAATAGCGTCGCTGCCTCTCGCGCAACGTTTTCTCCGGTCGTCAGTAACATTAATCCTGTGCTTACACAGCGTGCAACAGTTAATTTTAATGAACGTATAATGCAGTCATATAACGTCGGGCGGAATCTGAACTTAACGAAACTTAACGAATCAATTAATATATAGAGGAGAAAGAAAATTACTACGCGGCGTCAGGAAATACAACGGTATTATCCCGATTTTTGAAACCGTACTCTCGTCGTTGTAAACGCAAACGTTTCTTGATGAGTAGACCTGATAACATCGTTAAACAAATTTAGCGTGAAAAAAACGTTTTTACCGCCGTGAAAAGAAAATCAAGCGCATTTTTTAGAAAACTTATAATTTTCATTCATTTATATAAATCTGTAATATCGTAGAATATAAAAATAATAATGATTACGGAATATGATGTGAATAATGACGCTAATATACGGTATTAAATTGCAACATTAAAATCGATGTGATTTATTTTGAAATGCGTTCGTCGAACGCGCGGCCGCATGAAGAAATACCGCGCAGCAGTACTTATATTTTGCAGTAACGTATAATTAACGATAAGAGAATTGACGTCGCGTCTTCATGCCGGAAGAAATGAAATGTCATTCGCAGTTGTCCAGCCTTGAATGGTTGATTAGATTGGCTAGCAAATGGCGTTCCACACTTCATCAGCGTCGCTGCGCCGTGTGTTTCTTGCCGTGTGCCTTTGTTGTGCATGCGAATGACGATGTTGAAATGGCCCGCTTGCTATACGTACGTGTTTCAAATACGTTATTCTATTTCGCTGACCGTCGCAAGATTTCCTCAATCTCTTTTCAGATATATATGTCGGTCATGTAGCGTAATTGGTGATACAACTGCCGTTGCTTAATTGCAATGAAAACTTATCAGAATGCATGATTTACAATTATAATTGATGTTGCATTTGACGTATACCGGACGGACAATCATTTTATTTCTTACATTTGTTGACATAGCCTCACTCTTTTTGCCTCTCATATATAGCTGTTTTGAAGAAAAGGAAGGGAATTGCGTCATTTGCATCAGACAGTTGATGTGACTGATAGTCGTTGACTTTCTTACAACGTTAGCGCAACTATTTTTTATTAAAGACTAAAAAGAAACACGTAATTTTATAATATTAGATAATATAATTTTCAATACTGGTTTGCTTAAATCAAAGTTCGTAATCCGCGTCACACCTTTATCATTCGTAAATATATTTTGCACGCTGGCGAACCGCAGTTTTTGATTCACTGCATGGCCACTAAATTAATCGTCACCGTATTTCGAGATATTGTGAGTATTTTTGTAGACGAGTTATATTGTTAACAGAGCAGAGTTGCAAAGTTGCGGGCAGTAGAAGGTCGCTATATATATCGGCTTTTGCTTTTCGTTTCGTCGAACGTGACGGCCGCTGACCTTAGCTGTAACTATACTTGCAGTTCATAATGAGAAAGAGGCAAACGAGGTTCAATTACGGAGAACGGTGCCGGCCGGTATCCTTGGACGCCTACAGCCTCGACAGCGTTTCGGCGTACAATAGCGTAAGGCGCAAAGGTGCGGCAAGATCCTCCAAGAGGAGTTACGGCAATCCGACTTTCGAAGATTCGGTAAGATCGCGGAGATTAATCGTAGAAGCCTTCAAGACTGTTTGAAATTTTCATTGTGCTATTCGTATAGGAATAGCACAATGAAAAGTAAATAGGAATAATAGGAATAGGAATTTAATTCTGTGTCTAATCGATGATTATAGTACACTGCATTAGAGATATTTCGATTCATGTGCATATCTCAGTATATTAAGTTACTAATTATATAAATTAATTTAAAGATAAAATAAATTATAGTTTAAAGATAAATTTATGACAAATTCAAACTAATGTAATTAAAAATATGAATTGTCATAACGAAGGAATTTTTTTTATTAAATACTGTTTTATTATTTTAAAAACATATGCGTATAGCATATTTATTAAAAAAAATTTATTTTTTCCAACAATGCATTTTTTATTAATATATATAATTATATACATATATTCTCTATTACATTACAGTAATAATTTTTCTTTCTTTAGCTATTACGTGTTACGAAAGTATAGATCTAAATTAATCGTTCAGGTAAAAGAATGCAAAGCAATAATACTTGTATCCAAATAGTAAAATATGCGTAGCAATATATTAACAATTTGATAATAGATTAAATCGGCATATCACAGTAAATTAACTATGTCGCTGCTTTGTTTGATTTCTACTGTTGGAATGCCGTTAGTTGACTTAGATTTATGCTAGAATTCTGCTGATATTATTGAATATAACAGATTCTGCGCCAATTCTATCTGCAAATTATATTCTAGAATAAACTTAATTTTATTTGGGTACCATGTACTTTGTTATTTATTATATAGAATTATCTTGAAGATATCTATAGACACTTTTAATAGTAGAGCTTTTAACTAGTTAATTCCACAATTATTTGGTATATTTCCTAAGAATAATTTATAAGTCTTAATATCGATATCATGAGAATAAAATTATGAATATAGTTATTATAAGAGAGAAAGAAATTGCATTAATACTTAATATGGTTTATACAGTCATTAATATTTAAAAACTCTATTTTAGCTTTAAATTCGTGAATGTAGACTTTTGACTACACTTTACTATAAAGTTGCTTCACATCTCAAGTCCATAACTTCCTGCTTAATTTAATTAAATTTAGAAAATTGGCATATTCAAAATATTTTTCAATCGATATCAAGTGACTTCCCCACGTAGCGCTTGCTCAAAGGAAGCGATGCGGCGACGCTCTCTCTCTCTTCACCACGAGCGAAAGCTACGAGCAAAGCTTTCTATGAAAGGTATTCTCTTATTTCAGAGCGCCATTCCCTCCCACCCCCTCAACTTCGCCGGGCTTTCATCTTTCTGTAACGACGTTAATGCAATCAACGAGGAGTTCGCGGGTATACCCCAGGTTTCGGCGAAGATAGACGAGCTGCCCCCGGGCGCGGAGGTGAAGAATAGATACGCGAATGTGATACCGCTTCCGGAGACGAGGGTGCCGTTACAGAGGCTGAACAATGACGCGTTAACCGAGTACATCAACGCCAGTTACGTGCGGGTAAGTGAGACGTTCGAGTTAATTTCGCGGGCGTGTCCCTCGTGACATATCGCATCGTTCGCAGGGGACGTCTTTGTCGCCGGCGCGGCGTATACGCGCGCGTTATTATGCCGTTGAAGACTTTACTCTCCCCCGGCATTTACGGCGTGAAACACGAAACCGTAACCCGTGCTCGCAATCGAGCATGATTTACATCTGCGTCGCGGAATTACGGGTTCCGTGTAATGCGAATAAATTAATTTACGAATCAATATAACGACCCAGTGTGTCGAATGAAAAACAAATGGCGATCCATTTGCGCGACTCGCGTCTCGGTTTTACCATGGACCATGGGAGAATTGCATAAGTATCCGTGCCATTAGGATAATGGGTTGTTTATATGCGAGATCAGATTATGTCAGCCACGTCATACCTACACAGCTTAACGCTAAAGTGCTAAAGAGTAGCAAAGCGTTTTCGCGGCACCGTGGGAAAGGAGTATTGCGTAACACGCGTCGCCGGGAAACTGGAAAGTGAGTGCATTGTATCGCGCGAGCTGGGAAACTTAGACGCGGAAGCGTTAGGCGAATTGTTTGCGGGGAATATAACTAGTTCGTCTTTCACAGCCTCAATAATTTCACAAAACGGGGTCAAACAGGTACAAAAGGCTAATCATTTCGCGTGCGCCTAAGGTTACGATATCGGGAATACGTTTGTTTCCTGAAACACACGTGCGCCTCTTGCGCGTTTTAAGGTGATCAGAAATCCCCGAGAAGCTGTATATAAAGAAATTGAAGAGATTAAATCGACGATGTTTACACACTTTGATCTCTCACGGTATAAAAAGTATATGATAAAACATATTGTATGATCCATAACGAAGTAAAAGGTACACAATTCACAATCGAAAGCTTCTCAGAATCCATTTTGAAACCTATAACACGACAGAGTTCTAGACAGAATTCTATTTCAATTCTATCCCCGGTAAATAGATAAATCGTCTAAAGTGGGCTTAAATATTGATACGATTAAATCCAAAGATAACTTTCGATAACGTTGTCTCAAAATAAGAAATTAAAAATTATATTTAAACTATAGGATTTAGGTGTTAGAAGATCGTCTTTCTAAATTTTTTTTAGTTTACTTTTCAATTTTACAAGTATAATGTTTCATTTTAACTATATTTTATTGAGATATTTGTTGATTTTTAGAATCGTGTACTCGCATTGATTAGATCTGTTTTAGCAATGTGCAAAATGCATCGCGACTTCGCACGAAATAATACCTCGATAGCGGCAATCTATAATACTCGAAAAAAAAACCTTGCGTATACGAAATATCTTCCGTTGCATAAGTCGCAGGAGAATGTCGCGAATGTGTTACGTGTGTCGTAACAATTTACACGCGTCGAACAATTTTATCCAATAAACGCGATGTACGCGTCGAGCAATTTTCAATTTATCGCTTAGGAAATTTTTCTCGTATATAAGAAATGAAAAAACCAAAGGTTTTTCCGCCGTGTATAAGTACACAAGAGCCGTGTGTTTCCTTCCCGTTCCCAAGTGTCCTGCGGTGTCTGACGCCCTAAGGGTACATCGAGCCCATTTATCTCGTATGCGTTAAGACGCTTCTGCGGGGGGGATTCGACGCGGCAACAGGCGAGAACTTCCATTAGGAACGAATCGATCGATCGACAAGCGTATACCCAATGGTATCGCTTCCGCCTTCGGATTGCTTCATATCGCGGATACAATCGTGCCGGCATTCGTAACGCTTCTATCTTGTATATGTATATAACGTGTATGTATAGCATACGTCTTGCAATTATGATGCGTGCAGGCATTAACGCGCGCCGAATGTGGTCGATGGAACGTAGCCAAGCTGACGTGTAATTAATTTCGCTCAACTCTCGATAAGATCGCGTAATACACCGGAAACTCGATTGTGCGTGTGAATAGACCGTGATTGATCGACAATTATCTGTAAATAGAAAAAATGTTAAAATAGATTATCAAACGAGAAAAACTCAGCCAAGTTCTTACAGATCTAATATTATTAATTAAGATGCTTTATATGCGAATATGCCCTGTAACGTTTTTTATTAATTATGGGAATTGACAAATGAATGAGTTTTAATTGCAAATTCTAAGATAAATAATGTGAGATAAATTGCATTCTCCTTTGATACTTATAAACACGTTATGTTTTAGTTTTCAGGCAAAACTTGTTGTTAGTATTGTTGTAAAAAAACATAATTTTATGCTTTAATTGATAATATTTTATGAGTAACGTATTATATATTAACATTAATACTTTAATATTAGTAAAATAAATATATATTTAAATAAAAAATAAACGTAATATTTTATTTCCAAACATAATTGATTCTATAAAGATGCTAATGTGCTTAATACAAATAATGTCTGATTGTTAGAAAGTTGTCTGGAAATAATATATTGTTTATAAGCTTTTTTTTGGATGTGATTTGAAAACGTTCGTTGATTTTTTAGGGACCTAAGAACGCCACAAAGTATTATATCGCGTGCCAAGCGCCAATAGAGTCGACTGTTACCGACTTTTGGCGAATGATTTGGGAGCAACAGTCCAAAGTGATTATCATGCTGACCGATCTCGTCGAGAACGAAGTGGAAAAGTGTACAGAATACATTCCACCTTCGGAGGTGACAGATTGTCACCGGCTTTACGGTGATTTCCAAGTCACTTTGAAGAAGCGGGAAGCCAAGGAGAAGTATGCTATATCTACACTTCATCTGAAGGTAAAGAACATTCCTAATTGTATAATATTAGTATGAAAATATATTTTTTATACTAATATTATAAAATATTAATATTCTTAATGTGTATAATTATAATAAATATAATAATGTCTATAAAAATATTTTAAATATATAATTAGTACCTATATATACATTTATTATAATTATATAACAAAACAAAATATATAATTAATTGTATTATATGGTTTGCTAATAGTTTTTTGCATCACTCGTGACCTATATTTTAAATGCATTTTTTTTTAAGTGATATGACCTACGTACGTCAAAAAACGTCTTTTAACGATCTTAGATTAGTCTCGTCCTTGAAATCAAGTATCGCACGCTACGAGAAAACAGCTAAAAAGCGAGAAGTAGCACGGCAATAATCAAGAACACCGACACATTTTAATTTCATGCTCAAAATCCTGAATAGTATTGACTTACAATTAGTCAATATCAAAATTCCTTGGAATTCTTAATTGCTAAAGCATATATATATATCATTGCTTAGAAAATCAGTTAGATTTTCTTAACTATGTTAATTTATTTATTTGCTTCAAACTAATTAATAAAATGTCAATTACAAAATAATGTTCTTGAAATTCAAAATATAATATACTGCATGAGATCTCTGTAGAAATCCAAATGCAGTAACCGTAGCAATTCAAATATTCAATGGCAACCTTCCATCGAGTGGGAGCAATTAGTTAAATGTTTTTCGCAGAACCTGGAGAACAATACGTTCCGAGAGGTGTTTCACATTTGGTACCTCTGGCCGGTGAGTGGCGTCCAATCAGACGGTACAGGCCTAATAGCGGTACTGCTCGAGGCGAGAGCACTCCAGCGAGGTGGCCCCGGGCCCATCGTGGTCCATTGTAGTCCTGGCACAGGACGCACTGGCACGTTAATAGCCCTCGACCTAGGAATTAGACAATATGAAATTACGAGGACCGTGGATGTGCCGAGGGTCGTTTACACCATCAGGAGAGATCGGGCTGGCGCAGTGCAAACTAAGGAGCAATATGCTTTCATATACAAGGTGATGATCGATCCTATCAATCGCTACACGAGGATGCTAAAACAGAGAATGCTCTCTTATCTTCCTCTAGCCTAATTTAACTACACGAATATAAGTTTATTTGATAGCTTGTCTTACGTTAAAAGTATAAAATGTAATATTTACAAATTAAGGAATAAAATTGGATCTTTTGTAAATTAGATAGAATACATATAATCTAGTTAAATAAAACTAAAAAATATATATATTTACATAAAATATGGGAAATTTGTCATTTAGAAGAGTCGATAAAAACGCAAAAATTGTCTCAATTAAAAATTCATAAATCCAAGTTATAATTGCACTGTTTGCTTGAAATTAAGTTCCTAGAATTATATTAGAAAGACTGATTTATATGTATAATCAGATTTAAGAATGTGATGTTGCCACAACATGATATCGTAGTCTAAAATAGATTTTTCTTTTTTCTAAGGCACTAAACTTGTACGCGACAAAACTCGCTGGCGGTGTACTAGAGTCAACGTGAAGCAGAAGTTCTGAAGATTTGCAAAAACGGACGTCAGTTGACGAAGCTCGGCTGTTTGTTTAGCGAACAGTGTGTGTACGTGAAATCAGGAAGCCTTTATTTAAAAAGGTTTTCACTCGGATGGATGCTTAAGTTACCGGCTGAAGAAAATAAACTACAAAGATGCCAAATGTTTGTCCGATTTAAGAGCAGAGGTATTCTAATATTGCTTTTAAGAAAAAAAAAAAACAAGAACTTTGTCGAAGCTGTAAGACAAAATGGTGATCGTGAAATAAATGTAAAACAGGGTGTGAATGTGTATTTTGTTAGAACGCCGAATGTTAAGCAGTGATATGTCGGATTGTGAAGATTGTTGGAAGAGCTAAACGTTACCTAGAGCGTGAAATTAATTTGTGATATGTGAACTCTTAGATTACTTGTAAGTTTGCTGATATTGACGCAATTCACTTCACTATTGATTTGTGTCAGCGTAAGAATTTTAGGGATTCCCAGAAATCTATTTATTTATTTGTTTCAAACTATAATTAATTAAATGTCAATTACAAAATAATGTTCCTGAAATTTTAAATATAGTATACTGCAAGAGATCTTTGTAAAAATAAGCATCCACACAAATGTAGTTTCAGCAGTAACCGTAGCAATTCAAATATTCAATGGCAACCTTGCTAAACCTAATTCTCTTTTTTCAGAAGAGAAAAAATTTTTGCTATTCATCGTACGTAGAGACCAACATAGAACGATTTAGATATATTTAAAATCTATTAAATATGCGTTAACGTATAAAAGTTTCTTAAAAAATTTATTTGCAAAGAAGAATAAATAAAATATACTATTATTTACTTCTCGATGTTCAAAAAGAGAAATTTTTCAAATTCTTTAAACAATGGTGTTTTTTTGGGGTATCCCTAAGATTATAATAAGATATTACGTTGATATTATTTGCTCGGTGGGATTCGCGATATAGGGCCATATTCCGATACTGGCAATACTGAAAATGTTTAGTTCACGTTACATATACTATAGATTTTCATCAGTAAAGCAGTGTATATGGGACATGGCCCAGATGGAATATCGAAGATCAAAACTGGAGGAGAGACGAGTTCGGTTAAAATTTTAATTGAGATTAATAAATTTATCTTCTGGTAATTTTTTTATAAGAATGTGATTCTCGAGTCGCCTTCAGAAAATTTGGGTATATTTTGAAGTAATATCCCAGAATTAATTGTCGTTGTTTTAAAGAAGTATTCCTATTCAGTAGTAAATATTTAAAATCTTCATCAATTTTTTGAAAAAAAATTGAATATTATAATTTGAGATTTAACATATACATTAATTTGTATTTAAATTATATTTATGAACTTAATTTTTATTATTTAATATTTTTAACATTATAAATCACTTATTTTGTAATAAAACACATTCTATTTTAAAAAACGCTTCTTGAAAGCATCTACATATATTTTGAAGATTTTAACTCATCTGAAACGAAAAAAAGTTGTCTGTGTCGTTGTTTATACAAGAAAAATGTTATTTTAGGAAACAAAGTTCTGCTTTTTTCAATGGAAAACGAAATTTTAAACATTTTTATTTGAATCTGAAAGAGACTATACATTTTTTAAACGCAAAAATAACATTTGATTAGTACAGTTACATTAGTGCATCATGTATACTCCGTAAATGTAAAAGGCGTAACCGCTTGATATGTATAATAATCATTCTTGGTAATGTAACAATCGTTCTTTTTGTAATAATGCCCGCAGACAAAACGATTTCTGATTTTCTTCTCAAATCAGACATTTTATTATTGTTATTGTTATTATTGTTGTTATCATTGTACAGAATATATCTCAATTCCGCACGTCGCTCTCTATAATTGTAAATATGTAAAATGTGAATGATTATTCCGACAATTGCGTTGATTAATCTATTCGAAAGATTTTATTTATACATAGGAACCGTTAATCATCGATTTTTAGGCCGAGAAATACCAGCGTTTTTTATTTGTCGAGCCTAATTGTACGGACTTGAAGCGAATGTCCGTCCACCAAGTGCAATGTACCAAGTGTATTTAAAAATTAGCATACAGTTACGTTAGTTACTATAAGAAAGTTCAGTCTGGATTATAATCCTTAGTAATAATTAGGGCGAGACATGATGGAATCGACTTCAGCTTTCCGAATGCTACATAGTAAATTGTTAAGTAACTCAATTAACAATCCAGTGAATTTTATTTATCTAAATTTATTGCAAATTAATTTTAATTGTTTGACTCTTTGGTGACGTTAAAAGACACATTGCGCGGGCTACAATGTTTTAATTTAATGAATGAATGTTTAGATGTCATTCGTGTTTATCATGATTAGTCGCTGTTTCATCGAGAAAGAAAGAAATACGATAATATCGTTTTAATATAGAGGATGGTCACTTATACCGTTATACTTTTGTTTCTGAATTATATTTCTTAAACAGAATCTGAAAATAAAACCAACTTAAAGCAAAAATGGACTAATAAAATTAGCCCTAAAATCGAAAAAATAAGAGAAATATAAGAAAGAGAAAATGCAAATAAAACAGTTTTAGGAAACTACAAATATGTAAAACATATTAATATTAACAATTATATATTCAACATTATTTAAATGTAATTTACAAAATAAAATCGTAAGAGTGTTATTTTTGCATTTATGGAATTAATTTTTATACTGATTTCATATAGAAACAAGTCACAAATATATGAATCATGAGTTTTTATCTCTTTAATTATCTAAATAGATCATGTTTTTATCGGTATTAATAAAGTTCAACGTTTTAGTTTTCGAGGAAAAAGTGTCTCTTTAAAAGACCTGTCAGTATCAGCGACTTTCCTTTATGATATAAAAACATCACAATTAATCTCTAACGTGGTCAAGTATGAAACTCATAAGTTTTATAGAGATGCATTTTATGTCTTTCAAATATTATACAAATGGTGAAATGTATGAATAACGTAATTGTATTATTATGAGTAAATAATATTGCGATATTGCTAATTAGTTTAATGATGGCGTGTCTGCGATCATATATTGTGATTTACAACTGCAATTACCGACTGAAAAAGTAGTAGTTACGTTATAGCGCTCGCGGATAATGCGATATGTTGCAATATTAATGGATTACGAAAAATTGATAGGCTTAGCATCACATTGCAGTATATATAAGAGTCAGAGGACATAACAGGATTTACAAGTGGTATCTGTCTACAATTCTTAAGGATACACATATCTTGGACCACGATATTATAACGGATAATGCTATCATGTAGAAAAAAATATTAAAATTCTATGTATGCAGTATTTATCGGTGTATACATATGTACCAAGCCAAGTCGAGAGATGTAAGTTATAAGCTTATTATATCTTGAAATCATAAGCTTACGTCTCCAAATATACAAATTATATTCAATCAATAAGTTTATGACGTTGACATAATTCTTATATCTTATTTAATAATAAAATAATAAATAAATTATATTATATTGTAATTATATACTTATTCTCTCTCCAGACGCGCGATTGTGAAACGCAAAATAAACGCGATGTATGCAATTACGTTTCATCCACAAAAATGGTTTATATTACATGAAAAAATCAGTCTTCTTGTATTTTATATTATATTCCAGACATCACAAACGCGCGCTTCGCGCATGCTATTTTAGTTTTTATTTTTTACTTTGATCTTCATCCAGATGACGATGACGATAGACGATGACGATTGATTTAATTTGATCGGTTTCTTTATATATCGACGAGATACTATTAAAGATCGACAATCTTATAGGAGCATGGCTGTTTTTAAACAATTAGCCAATAATATAATGTTAATTTTATTATTTATTATTAGACCAATGTTTTTTAGATATGTATACATATTTACTTGCTCTAATATTTAAATTTATTTAAAACTGCATGTTTATAGTTACCACATATATATGTGTTCGATTATTATTGTTAACCATAAAGATGATAACACCAAAAGAAAAAATTGTAATCTTGTGGCAATATATATTGATATTATAGCATTATAAATATGCATACTTATTTAAAAAGCATTTGTATAATAAAAAATTATATTTTTTTACGTGAAAATCTGCTTAGTATTCTCGGCGATTAAATCACTGTCAATAAGACAACGATGATCGCCATACGAAGAAAGCGAATTAAATCTTATCACGGTATAATAGAAATCATACGTTACAAAATTTTAATTTCTGGCGTAACTCCTGGTAATTCCAAAATCAAACTCTGATTAAAAGTAAAAGTCAGAGAATGGATATACCCGCATTTTAAATGAAACTCGATTACTAATGCCTCAATGTGAATAAAAGTCTATATATGTACATTAGTACATCGAATTACGTAGCCATGCCAATAAATATTTTCAATGGATAATGTGTGCAATATCGGTCTTCGGTTCTGTGCTCTCACAGTGCCCTCACAGAAACTCGAAACAGTTTTCTGTGAGAAACCAAAAATTAAAAAACAAAATATGTTTGAAACACTTGCGTTGATGTGGTCTTGAAATATTTAGTGCTTCATAAAATAATGTAAAAAATTCTTAATATTAATAATCAAATGTTAAATATTAAAAATAAATAATTATCAGATGCAAGCATCCAACATTAATTAATATTAATATAACAAAAATATGATTCATAAGTTAATAATATTAAGAATAACAATATATCACTAACAATTTCAATATTAAAAATAACGAATAATTTAAAATAAAGAGAAGTTAATAGAAAGAAGTTTTAAGAAAAACTTCAAAGAACACTAGGATTATTTTGATAATACTTTATGTATATGTTTGAAGAATAAGAAGGGGCCGCAAGTCGTATTTAAAAGAAGGGACTATCAGTATTTTTTTTAACGATTTTGGTATTTATACCATCTTTATAGTAGCCTTCTTATGTGTCATTATTATAAAAATAATGTATGACTTTAAAAAATAAACCATCTTGTCCGTGCGGTTAACGTATTATTTTTAAAAGCGATAATATACGCTCTAAATACGAGCTGGCATTGCAATGATATGCGAAAGGGCATGATGCAAAGGATGATAATATGTGCAGTACATCTGTTATTTATAGAATCGCTAACAGTTTGTGTAACATTGTCAACTTTGTGTATTAGCATCTAAATGTAGAAGTAAAAAAGTTTTTTTTTTATTAAAATGTTACGATTATGTTT